TGGTTTTCCACCCACTGCATTCAGCAGGTGGTTCCGAGGGACATCAACTGACCTCATCGACCTTCTCCCCCGACTTTAGTTAAGATGGGGTCTGCACTACCCCAATCTTTTAAAACAGCGTCTCTAACAAGTTACGGTGGAACCTTTGCAAACACTTTCAACTTTAGGTGCCCACAGTCCTCACCAAGGGTCTTTCCACCGCAGCTCGCCTTTCTTGCTCTTGGTGACCGTCTCCTTCGAGCTTGCCTTGAGCTGAGCCAGCTTCGCCTCCTTCGATGTCTTGAACAACTTCAACTCAGCATCAAGCTCGCCTGCTTTCTCCAACAGGCGATTCATAACTCTGAAAGGCAGCTCTTGGAAGTCCACCTCCAACCGGTTCTCTTCACCAAAGTCGTCGAACCTCTCATTGGTGAGGTCGTCTGCCGGTTGGTTCTGAGCTCTTGGAACCCACTGCAATTGCAGGTCTATGCCTGCCAAATCTAAATGCACCGCCAGTTCCATGGCCACAATCGACAGTGGGTACCTGCTCGAACCATATCTCTTCAGGACATGTGTATTCGCCAGGTCAGGGTCACCTTCGCTCCTCTTGCCCAGCTAGAGCCCGGCGCCAGCGCCATCACAGCTGCAAGCACCCCAATGAGTTCCAGTGTGGCAATATTCCTGAAGGGATCGCCTCTCAATCAAGTAGGCCCAAGGGGCTATCCTTCTGTTCAACCTAAAGGAGAACCAGCGGGCCGTCTTCTGGTCAGGAACCTGACCTGTCTCCCAGCCACCAATCACTATCTCTTCGCCCGCTGCCTTGGCGTCAACCCTGAAGACATCCACCGGCGACTTCTCCAGGGGCTCAACCGGTCTCATCGGCGACCTCGCTCAACCTGCCCAAGACGGACTTGAGCTCTGCAACCACTCCACCCAATTCCAGCTTCTTCGTGATCCACTGCACGATCCACTCCCTCTTCGAGGCATTGATGCCCTTGTGGAACGTGTGAATGTTCAGGCAATACCCGATCCAGTTCACCTCTGTGCCCCCTCGGACCTTGGGCCAAGTCACCGGCACCTCCAACAACTCGAAGACGAAGAACCACATCAGGATGCGCCTCCAGAAGTCTCTGCCGACCGCCGCCAACCAGCCGTCGTCTGCATAGATCAAGTGGAGCAACCCATGAGCTCGACCCAGCAGTCGGTGGGCGCATCTCACAGCCACCCCCATCGTCCTCCCAAACCAGTATGCAGCGCTGGCTATACCGAAGGTGCCTCTGGTGTGGACGAAGATGTCTCCAGACTTGTCGCCTGGCAATCTGAACGCCTGCAGGCCCCAGTCTTCCTCCGCCACGGGTATCAGCTTGTGGGCCCGGGCAATGTCATAGAGGACCGAGAAACGGATACCACCTTGGCCCCCCATCGTCTCCTCCTCCACTTGCCTCAGCACTGCTGCCGCGTCATCGATCAGGGGAAACCTCATCCGGTCTCTGACTCTGATCCTCCTGTTGACATCGACACTGTACGCGCCATCATGGATCGCGCGCCTTCTTGGGGACCGCCCCCAGCGCTGCCACCGCCAGTCGGCCCTTGAACCTCTTCCGGGCATTGCGCTCCATCATCCTGATGAGCGCGCCGTTCTCGACCTCCTGCAGTACTTGCCTCTCTATGTCCTCCGCGTTGTCCTCAGCAGACTCATAATTATCCGCAAGGATGTCCCTCATGACTTCGTCCGTGGCATCAACTGTCCACTTCAACTTCTCCTCGTAGACCTGGGGCGTTCTCGGCATCTCGATGTCCACGCCTAATAGCCTCACTCCACGAGAGGCTTTCCGGCTGCCATCCTCCAGAACACCTCCTTCGCCTTCTCCTCGCCGACAGCCCCCAACCAAGAACCGAAGGCCTCATCGAACCACTTCATAGTTGAAGCTTCCCTCTCACTGCGAGCTTGCTCTCTCCTGGCCACCGGCCACCTCCCTGGTGAGCATAGGCCCGCCCCATCGTGAAGTGCCCTCACTTCACCTTTGTAGCTGACTTGCATGGGCGGTCCTAGGCCGCTCGATGACCATTTCCGTTGACTCTTGCCTTCTCGAACAGCCTCTGCTCCTCCTTCTCCGCAGGGTCTCTTCTTGTCTTGCCCTTGAGCTGGTTGCGCCTCTGCTCCAGGGTCGTGGAAAACTCTCGACTCACCTCCTCCCTTTTCTGGCCCCACTTTAGCTTGGAGTGGAGTCGACATCCATTGTGCCAAGATAGCCTGAGCCAATGCAGCGTCCATCTGAGGCGGATAGGAGGAAGTTGTAGATGTACGGAAGCCTGCATCATGAGCTGAACGCGCCAGGGTCACTGTGGGCTTGCACTGACATGACAGAACTGGGCCCGCATAGTGAGGCCAGTTGCAAGCCCCCCACGAGCGTAGCTGCTCAATGTTGGCTATGAGGCGTGTAGGCTTCCTGTAGGGAGCACCCCAGCAGCACTGGTTAAACACCACTGTAAAGAGGTGTAGTGGTGAGGGATCTTCGACATGCTTGCGAAGGCGTGGAAGCTGCCAGATCGATGCTGGGTCCATCAGCATGCCGTCTTCCTCTCTGTAAGCTACACCAAGATCCTCTGGGTGCTCCCCGAAGACCAAAACCACATGGCCAGCCGGGGTAACCGGACATTGCTCCAATGCATCTAAGACATCGAGCATGAACACAATGAGAACATTCCCCAACTCCGCATCCGCCTGGATCGAATCATTGGAGGACCCCTGCAATTTGCTCCTCGCACTCTGGACCACGTGGAGCACGGGGGCGTGATCAGCACCACGTCGAACTCTCCCGACTTGATGCGTTGCAGTAGGGAGCTTTGCACGCCTCCCTTTGTCAGATCCCACTCAGGGGAGTTCTGGATATCCACATCGTGCATCTCACACTCGATGCCCTGTTTCTTGGCCAGTTGCTGCAACACCGAGGTCACCGAAGTCTTGCGCTGGCCACGGACAGCTTCGCTTGCAGTGTCTCGTTCACCTCCTTGATCTGCAGGAGACCGTGGAGATCGGCATCCAGCAGTGCAATCGCATTGGCTCTCCTGGCAGGAGTGTCGTGGCCAATGTCAGGAGGGCTAGGCGTCTCCCCCCACAAGACCCGACCGCGCCGTCCAGCACGTTCCCCCTCTCTAGCCCCATCATATATGCGCACATGCCTGACAGGGCTATCATGCTCTCCATCTCGGACGCGAATCGACCGAACCGAACACAAGTCAAGCACAGTTGAAAGCAATCGTCTTTCGAAACTCCCCGGACCTCTCGCACATCCTACTCAACCCTCTACCGTGCACAGCATCTCAATCTCACTGCCATGCGCCCGCCTAAGTGCAGCAAGGTCCCTCTTTTCAGCATGAGCCCCACTCCATCAACTCACGCCGATGGCTCCGCCTCCGATTCCACCGAATCTGACGAGGTCACTTCCCCGGAACTCTCTTCTTCCGGAGAACCACTTGCTACGGCTGCATCTTTGCCGAAGCAATTCTTACACGCCCGATGATACACGCTGGGCTCGGGAGGTTCATCTCCCAGAATTTCAAATTGGGAGTAACGCAGGCCGGGTTGCCTATGGCACTCCCCAATGCGATGCAACGTTCTGGTTTTCGAACGTCCCACTATACACAACAAACGTGCCAGCCACCTTCTCGGCCGGCACCACACTTACTCCTTGCGCTTGCTCCTCCTCATCTTCCGAATCGAAACCACCGTCTCCGGTGTCGT